AAAAAAAAAAAAAAAAAAAAAAAAAAAAAAAAAGAAATACACAGAGGCAAACTGTTCACAGATGTACAACACTGAAAACTACAAACTTGCTTAGGGAAATGAAAGAACTTAAAAATTGAGAAATATATTGTATTAGAATATACAATATTGTTAAGATGTCTGTTATGGCTTATATCTAGATGTTCCCTCAAAGCCTCTCCTGCTTTTAGGTGGGGTTTTTCAGAGGTGGTTGGATCTAGGGTGTGCGAATATGGATTAAGGGTGTGTGATAACTAAATTAGCTCAATGATTAGTTTAGCAGAGTTCTGGGCATAGATGATAAACCCCATCCCGGGTCTAGGTGGCCCCAGTCGAAAGGCTTATATCCTGAATGGAATATGAAGGAAAAGATGGAAGACAGGCTCACTGGTTCCTGCCTGCCACATCATGGACTGTTTCTCCTCTGTGATGCCCTCTGCCATGCCAGCCAGTCTTGGAGCCAGCAGACTACAGAATGAAACCTCTAAAACTGAGCTACAATAAACTTTTCCTCCTTTAACTTTGGGTGTTAGATATTTTGTCTCAGCGATGAGAAAAATAATTAAGACAAAATCTATACTAATCAGAGTAGTATGATATTGGAATGAAACAGTCAAGATTAATGGAACAGATAAGTCTAAAAACAGACCCATACTTGAACAGCTGATTTCTACCAAAGTGGCAGAGGCAATTTGGTCATGAAAAGACAAAGCAACTTTCAACAAACAACTCAAAAGGGATCACAAATCTAAAAGTAAAACCAAAACTATAAAACTTTTGGAAGATAAGCTAGTATCTTTCGTATCCTTGACTTAGAGATTTCATAGATATTATACTAAAATAATTATTAATCATGAACTGATAAATCAGACCTCATCACAATTACAAATTCCTATTCTTTGAATTGTCCACTAAAAAGAGAATGTAAAGCCAAGCCAGAGTGGAAGAAAATATACACATATCATATACTGTATCTGATATAGCACAAGTATCAAGAATGCATACAAAGAACTATTAAAGTTCCCAATAAAGGGGCAAAGATTTAAACAGACACTTCAAAGAAGATATACAAAGAGTAAATCAGCATATGGAAAGTTGTTTAACTAGAGATCCATGATGAGATAGCACTATACAGCTGATGAGAATGGCTAAAATTAAAAAGACTGATGGTATGAAATATTGGCAAAAATATAGAACAACTGGTGGTAGTTTAAAAAGGCATGACTGCTTTGGAAAATGGCAATTTTTTAAAAAGTTAAAACACTCACTGACTATACGATCAAGCCATTTTACTTCTAGGTATTTACAATCCCCCAAATAAAAATATATGTCCATAAAAATACTTGTCCAACAGCCTATATAGGAACTTTTGTAACTTATCCAAATCTACAACATGGAAAAATCTCAGTTATAGGGAATGAAAAGAGCCAGACACTTCCCTCCCCCAAACAGTATATACTGTATGATTCTAACTATTAAAATTCTAGAAAGTAAAACTTATTTTTAGCATATGAAAGCAGATCAGCACCTGCCAGAGAAATGACTGGAAAGAGGGGGTAGGAAGCTTTGTAAAGGGGCACAAGGTAATTCTGGGGGCAATGGATTTGTTCATTATCTTGATTGTGATGATGGTTTTTCTGGATGTGGACAGATGTCACAGAGCCAATTGTACTTCAAGACTGGTGTGATGGCTCATGTCTGGAATTCTACCACTCTGGGAGGCTGAGGGAAAAGGATGGAAAGTATGAGCCCTGCCCAGGCTTCATAGCAACTCAGACTCTCAGTCAAAATTAAAAAGGGACACGGCTGGGGATTAGCTCAGTGGTTCTGCAGCCTGCCTTGCAAGTACAAGATCCTGAGTTTGATCCCAGTACCAACAACAACAACAAAATAAAATAAAAAAGGCCAGGACTGTACCCCACTGTAAAGGCCCTGAGTTCAATCCCTAGTACCACAAATAAATAAATGAATATGTGAATGAATGAATGAATAAATAAAATTGTACATCAGATATATGAAGTTTATTTTAAGTCAGTTATGTATCCCTTCAATTTTCATTTTGTAAAACAATGAGCTGGTCTGGCTAATATCTAAAGTGCTCCACACATCCAATATTCAGGATTTATTCCTTATAAACACAGAGAATAAATGTGGAAATGAGAAAAAAAGAAGAAAGAAAGCATTTGATTCTAGATTCAAATCAGGCATAAATCTCCTTACAAGAAAACTATCAAAATCAAGTTATGTTCTCCACATTTTACAAACTTTAGCAATAAAAAAAAGTTTTAATCAGTAAGAGGCATGTCATAAAATTCAAAGTACTAAAGAAATTTCTTGAACATAACTACAATATTTTTGTACTTTTCCAGGTTTATTCATACACACTATGCCATTTGGCTTCTGCATATCCCTGAAGGCAGGAGATAACTTACCATTTATCAATGCACTTCTGGCAAAAGCTGTGAGCACAAGGCAGGATGAGGTCAGCTCGTCCATCCATGCAGATACAACACTCCTCCTCATCGGTCAGCTGCTTCACCCTGCAATGTGAAAGCTGAGCTGGAACAATGACATTCTCTGTCCATATGCTTTCTACTCTGTTTTCACTGTCCTAAAAAACATTACTAAACATCTGTAATATAAAGCACAATACGACTTATGCACAAAGTTAACATCAGACTAAAATCAACATCTTTTAGGAAGAGCAAATACATTAGGGAAGAAATACTAACAGGCATAAATTTCATAAAGACTAGATAAAAGGTAAGTTCTGTGATTGTTAAAGAAAAAATATGGACAAAAACTGGAAATATTCAGGTCTTTCTGAAAATAACAGCCCATTTTAATCACACTGAATTTCTATAAATGAATTAAACCATAATATAATTTATCACAATATAGGATATAATGTGGTCTAAAGTATAGACCTTGCGTCAGGACCTTACAATGCTGAAACCGATACCTGGCCCCAGAATGAATAGTTTAGCTTTAAGTATCAGGTGCTATGGGAAACACAAAAGGGTTAGGAAGCCAACTCTGTGTCCTCAAGGAGCTCTTTCATCTTCTCGGGAAGAAAAAAGATAGTGCATCTTCTCCAGCTACAATTCAGAGTCCCCCGAATGAGCCATGTGCCTTTGCACATGGCTATTTTTCTGTCCTGGGATTACCTTCTTTGTTTACTAAACTCTAATAGCTTAAAACATCCACTTTCTTTCTGCCCTCAAAATCAACATTTACCTCAAGTGATGAAAAAATTGCATAGTTCTTTGAAGATAAGTCTTTGTCATAAGAGTGTCAATAAATGTTTCTTGAAATGATTTTTAATTTTTTTATCTTTTGTGTTTTTCCATTTTTTTTTAAGGTTTCCCTTTGGAAGCAGTATTACTTTTTTACTTATACAAAAAAATAAATATTTCAAAGTATAGATTGTAAGCGACGTAAGGGCAAGAGCTATGTCTGATAAGATAAAGATATATTTCACTCCTTACTGTACTTATAGCACTGCAAGTAAGACACTATAGTAGTACTTTAAAATTTACTGACCTGAGCATATGAATATAAATGTCAAATGTGTATTTCATGTAGTAAGTGCTAAGTAAAAAAGAAAGAATATTTTTCAAACTTGTCAGAAAGATGAGAGAAAAAAAAGTCAGGATTTTGATGGACAGGACATTCCAGGTACATAAACAAAGCCATGGAGCTAGGAGAACAAAAGAGTGTTAAGTGTGTAAATGTAGCAAGGGGAACGAAATGCTGCTGGGAGGGGCAGGGGACTGGAAGAAAAGACTGACTGGAGATAATCCGATCCCAAATGCCAAAATAGTAAGTCTGAACTTGTTCTGACAAACTAGAGTCAGTGTTTAATGAAACTCCCACTGAAAAAATGCTTCAGGAAGATTAACTAGGAGTGCACAATGAAAGACAGAAGCATGCCAGTTAACCTAACCATCAACCTAACTGGAGTAAGAGATTTCTGGGAAGGTACTCTTCCCCTCCTCTGTTCCACCATGCCCTGTACCACGACGTTCCTGCCTTGCTAGACAACTACACATTGAACCCTCCGAAACCATGAGTCAAATAAATCCTTCCTCCTTTAGGTTGTGCGTATTGGGCACTCTGATCACAGCAATGGGAAGCTGACTAACACAGAGAAATGCTACCAGAGTAGTGGGTTATTGGTATGACTATACCTGAATATGTGGTTCAGGAGTTTTTGGAGCTAGTTGTGGGAGGAGTTTGGCAAGGTTTGGAGATATGGGCTACAGAAATCCCAGCATACTCTAAAACAGAACCTGTGATTCTTGTAAGAGCTTAGAAGACCAGAATGATGATATGAATGAAGACAGTGAAGGCAAGGCTCGTGAGGTTTCAGTTGGGAACAAGGACTCTACTGGTAATTGGACTAGGTCATGCATGCTGCTGGCGAAAAAAAAACCCCTGTCAACATTTTGCGTATGTTCCAAGACTTTGAGGAACACTGAGTTTAAGGTTGATGAATTAATTGACCTGGTAAAGGAAATTTTAAGGCAGCTCCAATGTTCAGGCTGTGGCATAGATATTGCTGGCTGCTTTTAGTCAAATTTATAAGAAGAACTGGAAGCAAAAACACAGAAAGATTTGAAAAACTTAAAAATTTGGCCCCAAAAGAACTACATGTAAAATTAGAGCCACATCACTTTGTGAAGAGATCACCACATACTTTTAACAGGGACAAGAAGAAAGATGCTTTGAAGCCATCTCAAAAGTCAGCGGAACCTCACCAATTGCAGGTCAAAGGTTACAAACATGTAAACCTTTCATTTGAGAACAGAAATCCTGGGCCCATTTCTCAAGAAGGGCCATGTAGGGGAAGTGGTTCCCCAGGATTCCTTTTATGAGCTGTGAGGTCACTACAGCCATGATCCAAGGGGGTCTGGCTGCAGCAGGCCTTGGCAGGCTTTGTCTATATGATGCTGGTTGTTTAAGCATGCAGAATGCAAGAGCTGTGGGGTCATGGAGGCTTCCACCCAGATTTCAAAGGAAAACCTGGGAAGACTGGCAATGTGTCCCTGAGAGGTGGGTACACAAAGCAGTGAGAATGAAGTTGAAGGTGCAGTGGATAACCCAGAAAGTTGGAAATGTCAGGAATGTCAACTATGTGACAAGTAAAGCCATAGGCTATGAGCAGGGCTAGCATGAGAAAGAGGCAGTATACACTGTAACCACCAAGGCCATAGAAGTGGCCCAAACTCTTTGGAATTCACATCTCACCACCATGTCCAATGCCAGACATGGAGCCACAACTTAAATGTTTGCTTTGGTGGGTTTCAGTCATATTTGGTCTTGTTCTTTTCTATCCCCATGTATCAGGCACATCTGACACCACATGATTCACACCATGGTTAGTTGGCTCCAAAGCAGAAGCAGTAGTGGAAGGGCATGACAGAGAAAATCTGCTCACCTCATGGCAGAGAGAAAGCAGAGAGGGAAGGGAGGAGCTGGGGACAAGAATATATACGCTTCGAGGTAATGGCCTCAGTGACCCACCTCCAACCAGACCTCACCTAACAGCAATTCAGCCATGAACTCATCAATGGATTAATCCACTGATGAGCATAGCGACACCAAGCAACACCATTATTCAATAATCTTCCAAAAGCCTCACATCTGAACACATAAGTCTTTTTGGGAACATTTCAGATCCAAACCAAAATATGTCAGAAAGTAATAAGACAGAGATTAGAGAATGCCTGTATTAACTGGCTGAATTTAGCCAGTTCAATTCCAATCATGGCATTTATTTGTCTAAACCTGTTTTTTTCACCTGATGTGGGCCGATAATTGTATTTGCATGAGGTTACTGAGAGGATTTAATGCATTTATAAGTGTACAACACTCAAAATTCTAATATCCTTTAAATACTCAATAAATAAAACCATTAATCAAATTATACATCAGATATAAAGCTGTGGTACATAAAGGCCCCTTACAAGTCCCTTCAACTTACAAAGTCTTTTTCTATGAATTAGTGTATCAGAGTATCACTATAAAATCAAAACATACAAAATCAAGATACAGCCTTAATGAACCAGTTAGGCATTGAGTTTTACAGTCTCAAGGCTCGTGAAAAGGCAAAACACTTTCATTCACCTCTTTCATTAAGATGATTGCAATAAGAACCATTACTTTTATTTGCAATCATATGGTATATATA